TATAAGCTAAATGAAGAAGCAGTTTGAAGAAGCGGATCCTTTCATGAAGAATTCGGAGTTGAAATAAAATGGATTCTGGATTGATTTGCTCTTTTTAAATTAACTTATTAAAATCGATTGATGTTTGTCCACAAATATAGCACCTCATAGTAGATGTAATATCAGTTGCAGCGTTGCACACTTTACCATCTGCTTTTGTAAAAAGCAAGGTATACTTTATTTTACCGAATTCATCGAAAACCCTGAGATTCCTTATTTGAATTTTTACGTTACTTTCCGTGAGATTCCTTATTTGATTTTTTAAGTGTTCTCATTAATTATTATGTCTTTAGATTCACTAATGAAACTTATTCAAATGGGCCTGCAAAACCTTGAAAAAAATTGACTGGGTTTTTGCCATATAACTTTCTCCTGTTTATCATTAATTTTAATATCCAAAAGGTAGTATACAACTTTGAAAATAGTTGCATCACTGATGGTATTGCTTTGAAATTTTTGCTTAAACTTTGCTTGTTGTGATCCATTACAGCCCCATTTTGATATTAAAACCTTCTTATACTGAACACTTTTTTTACAACTTCTGAGACATATTTATGTAAGCGCAATGTGGCGTAATGCTTGTAATTTAATTTCAGCTGTAGTTTTGGTTACATGTCGCGACGTTTGAATTTTCTTAATCTAAGTCCGTGTTTTTTGCAAAACAGAGAAAATAGATGTCAAAGTTTGAGTTTGTTTGCTGCTAAATTGAAAAAGTTATTTTGAAATTAAAGTTTTTCTTTAGAATTAAAATGCTCCCTTATTCTTTTTTAAATAAAGAAAAAATTATAAATATTGCCCTAACCCCCTTCTATTTCCACCCAACTTTGGAGCAAGTCATTTTTCTTACGCAGTGCTGTTGTTAGGCGCCCCAAGGCCCCTTATTTAGGATTGGTTGAAATCCCAGCAAAACTATTAGAACTCTTTTCAAAATAAAAGGAATATTTTTTGAAATAATTTAAAATAGAAGTTTTTATTATTATTTTGAGGCACCTAATGATGGTTATTTATTTTGGGAGTATTCCCACCTACTAGCTACGACACTTTTTTACAAGTTTTCTTCGACACCTGTTTGTGCCGGCTCCGAGCAAGACTATGAAGTCTGATTTAAAACAGAACATTTCATTACATATAAAGAAAAGGTAATTTATAAAAATTATACGAAAGGTATATGCTGTAAAAAGATTTATTTAAGAAATAGTATTTTAAAAGTTTTCCATCAATTATTTACGTATTACAGATATTAACACAAACAATTTAACTAATCCGATTACAAATAGCATCAAAGATGAATTTGATCTTGTTTTTCTTATACTTGTGTATCAATTAAAAAAGTTTAACTATTTATTAAAAACTATTGTAAATTGTTAGGTAAACAAAAAAATATATCTAGATTTCAAAATAGTAATAATTATATGTGTTTTGCTTCAATACTAAAAAAATACAGAAAAAGTTATATATAAATAATGTTAACTTTTTTAATGTTTTGTAAAATGCAATATCAACAGCAGGCATGTCTAAGTACATGAAGCTTTTTCAGCAGATAAAGGCTGATAAGGAGCACTTAAGCAAGCTGCCTTTAATGGTTTGCCAATAATGTTTAATGCTTCTCTCTTGACAGACTTATTTAAGCGACCTTGTGAATAATTATCTGAAAAAGAGGTTTTAAAAAATTCCTGGTATGGCAGTCCATTTCGATAAACAATATATTTAACTTTTTTATAAAGTACTAACTATTAATTTGACAATCTAATAACAATTGAAACGTTCTTCATATCTTCTAATTGCATTTGGTAAAGAGAGAATGTTTTTTTTTTATGGTTTACATTGTTAATAACTCTTTCTAGTCCAACTGGGCAACATATTTCTTCAGAAAAAAAAGATTTTTCAATTTGACTATGACTGTTATAACATTTTTGATTGCTGGAGTGACCTGGCTCGCCAAACTTCTGCTTAATGGCTTTTATTTGTGAGATCATATAACAAATTCGCGTAAAACTGCTGATATGAAACTATTGCACCGTTGTGGTACACATGAATTGAACTAAAGTATGAAATTATTTACGTCAAAGTTTTTCATTATTCTCATAAGCAAACACTATACAGCACTGGCTAGATCATTTCCTCGACGGCTAGCTATAGCTTCATGCCAAAGGATGCAATAACATTTCTTACTAAGCGAACAAACTGCCAGTTAAGTGAAAATTTTAAAAATTTCAAGATTAGCTTGAGGCAAACTAAGAAAATTTTCAAGATCAATACAAACAAATGCAGTTTTAGGATCAGCGTTTTGGCAGTTTTTTCACTATCAGTTTTGGTATTATTCCTTGATGTTATGCGCTTATTAAACATGTAGCTGTCTGCTCACTGATTGCATTGACAATGTTGCAATATTCATAGCAAGTGTAACATGAATTTTTCTTTAGTTTTTGAAATACTCAATTGCACTCGTGATATAACGATAGATAAGTTCTTTTACTGGTGTTTAGTCATTTTCATCACAAAATATTTTAAAGATCATACAGTTTACCTGTATTGAGCGATCCTTCCAAATCTTCTTTGTATGTCTTTTCTGCAATAATGAGCCTCAATTCTTTGGAAAAGATTTATAAAGTCACGTGCAACTTTTTAAGAGCCTTGAAAGTATTTTTTCTCCAGATTGGCATTCTTTTAATAGAAATGTTGATTATTGTCATTATTCAAGGTCCACAAGTTATATTAGTAAGTAGTAGCAACCCAGCAAACATATCAGCGTTGAATCAACGTTCAAAACCGGTCGCAAAAGATGTTGCGGGAACGTTGAAAAAATCACGTTTAATAATATTTTGCGATTTTTTAAGAAAAAATCGCAAAATATTATTAAACGTGATTAAACTTGGCTATAATGTATATTGAATTTGCAAACAAAACAAAATTGTATGTTGAACTCTGCACTTGCAATATTTCCAAAGTCGATTTTTAATACAAATAGTAATACACAATGAAAAACATAAAAAATATACAATTTATTTATATAAAATTTACAATTTATAGATAAAAAATTAAACATCTTTTTTAAGATTTAAGTGTGTGAGTGAATTTACAGGATTTACGTGTGTGAGTAAAATTTATGTGTGTGAGTGGATTTACAGGATATCGTATCGATAAGCCAGGATATCATTGAGATACAGAATCTAAATCAAAAAACAAAACTTGTATCATTATCAATCTGAAAGCAAATGTTAAAAAAATATTATTGAAATAGTATGATTATTATTAAATTTAAAAAGTAAAAATAAATATATATATAAAATATATATATATATATATATATATATATATATATATATATATATATATATATATATATATATATATATATATATATATATATATATATATATATATATATATATATATATATATATATATAATGTGATCATCGTAATAGCATAAAATAAGTAATTGATTTTAAAAATAACACGACGTTTTTTATTCTTGAGATATTTTGTGGTAAACAACTGGGTTGATATTTGTCTGGGGCCCGGGCGGGGTTTGATAAAATTTAGCCGGGGCCAGGGCCGGGGTTGAGACCAGGCTGCATAAACATTTACACATCCTAAAGTATATTCTTTAAATTTAAAATTCATGCTATATTTTGTATATATGTGCATATATGAACATCATTGCAATCAACATGATCATCATAATCATCAAAACCAACATCATAACCATCATCATCATCATCACCATCATCATCAAAATTATCATGATCATCATTATCATCAACAGCATAAAAGCGGAAAGCTTCACAATGATAATAAAAATTATGTTGATGTTGTTGATCGTCATCATGATAATCATCATCATCTTTATTATGGCACTATGTAAGGCACACTCTTCAAATTTTCTTACTTCTACCACAACCATTTTATACTGAAGCTGCTATTACTCTACATGTTAATACCAGAATTACTTTAACTTTTTTTGAAAAAAAGGTTGTTTGATACAACGTTTTTTCTAATCTGTCTAAGATTATGCCAACTTTTTATATCTTGTTAGAGTCACACCACACATCCATCTGATCATTTTCTCTTTCCACAAATACTACACCATATAAATACTAAAGTTTATACAACAATGAAATGATATTGTATGCCAGCATCTAAACAAATAGCCAACAGATATGCTTATATCCATAATATGTGTGCAAAAAGTGCATCTTGGATGCTTATATTGCTTCTGGAATAAAAGTTTGGAAGCTTTTATTACTTCTCTTCAGTTTTAAATCAAGCCTCATTCTACTCTACATCTTTCAACATTAACTCCATTTTTCAGCTTTTTTATAAGAACATCTCTCTTAAAAAAAAATTGTTCTTTTTATTATTGCAATAAGCTAATGTAAAAATAATGTCTTGATGTTGATTCTAGAGACTTTTGGGTAGTTTTCAACAGTGTTATTAAGTAAGTCTAACATTTAATCTCTAACTTATGACTCTTATCTTTTTACTTTACCCCAGAGTAAAACATTATTCACAAACATAATTACTTACATTCTTCTTTGGAGTCCTGTGTAGTCGTGAAATTAAATTCTGCACACTTTTTTATCTATTATTAATTATTTAGTAAAACAAATATAAACAAAACTATGTAAAAACAAAAATGTAGAATAAGTGTAAACAGATTACAATATATATCTAGGCAGTAATAATATCATAAACAGATTCAAAATATTACTCATTCCGAAATAAAAATAAAATAGTTTATTTGATATAGTACTTCACCGTTAATATAAAACTATAATAGTTTTTTTATTCATACAAAACAATTAAAATAGCAATAATTACTGTAAAATTTAATGACTTTTAGATACTTTAACTCTTTTAAGTCTTAGCTTGTTGCAGGAACTAACGATTGGAAAATTATTATAGGTAGCTTTCATTGCATGAACACAAGTCGGCCAAAATAACCATCCATCTTTTTTCGAACAAGATGGAACAACTGCCTCTGCTTCAAACCTGATGTATATGTAAATAATGTATATATAAAATGGTTAAAGATTGTTAAAAATTTAAAAAATTAGAAGCTTGGTGTATTTTAAGTTACTAATGAGGAAAAGAAAGTTTTTAAATTATTTTTAAATGCAGGTTGGAGATGACATCAGAGGGACACTTTGATATAAAATCTAAAAGTTTTAAATTAGTCGCAATAAAATAGGCTATAAAATATAACTTTATTAAAAAAAATTCTATACCATATGCATGCATTATATCAAGTTTTCCTTCCCTTTCCATTACGGCAAATTATTTTTGTAATGGCTAGTTATTGAGACAATGATTTTCAATGTGCCACAACATTGTCAAAACAACGTTTTATTAAAGTTGGCAAAGTAACACTTTTTCAACTTTTTTTAGTTACTACATTTTCATCCAACGTTGAAATAACGTTGAAAAAGTGTTGTTTTTCAAATAGTTTAAATTCGTTGAAAAAACAGCTAACGTCTAACGTTGATAAACCATTACCTTTGCGACGTTTTTACAGTGATTATTTGCGAACTTATTTTCAACGTTTAATAAACGCATTTTTTGAGAAGATAAGATACGTTTAAATTTATAAGCTTATTCAACGTTGAAAATGTAACGTTTAAAAAGCGGTTTGTCTTTAACGTTGATAAAGAATATACGTGGCTTTTTGCGTAAGTTGATTCCACGTTGAATAAAAGTTTTATTTTGAGAGGCTAAATTACGTTACAATTTCAACGCTTATTCAACGTTTCAATTTACCGCGAATTAGTATACAAAAACAGACATTGATTCAACGTTGAAAGCACGTTGTTTTTGTGACTGTAAGGCTTTTTCTATGCTGCGACTGGTTTTCAACGTTGATTCAACGCTTACATGTTTGCTAGGTAATCTTAGTGAGTAGCGCAATCTTAGTTACAATAGTGGGCATTTAAATTTACGATGGCCTTGTTCTCCTTTCAGATTTTTAAGTTTTAACCGACTGATATTTTTCTTATAGATTTTTTCCAATTACTTGTATTAGTTTTACGTGTTCTAGATGGGGACACCGGTTCTAGATGGGGTAATTTACGTGAATGTGAAATACCGAGCGGCTCTAGAATTTAAAAAACTCCGTTACCTTTTTTGTTTGATTATCCAGGATCCATAAATAATAAACTTTTATTTATGCATCCTGTATAATGAAACAAAAAGTGGTTTTTATGCATCCTGGATACTCAAATAAAAGTTGGCAAATATATAACACTAATTAACTAAAAAAATGCCTTTGTTTTGATTTTGAGCATATTCCATTTCTCGGTAAATATTTTTAGTTGACCCTTTTTGAAATAACAAAAGCAACAAAATTATTCCGCATAAATATGTGGTTATAAGGATTTGATTGATTGATCGGAGATAAATTAAGATAACATTTTCAAATGTGCTTATTTAAGAGATAAAACTATGCAAAATGGAATGCAACACCGTATTAAAAGTTTCCAATGTTTTAATAGAGCTACATAATGCAAAACTATTCAAAATTTTTAAAATCTCAGTTTTTTCAAAATTGGAGAACAAAATAAATCGTCGCGATGTATTGATTTCTTATCGGGGTATCATTCTTATTTGACTTTTTGTATTATTGAGTAGCAAGAATATGCATTTTTTCTATTTAAATAAGTTCCTACTATTTTCTGATAAAATCGCTTTCAACAAACAGTGCTAGTGCCTCTTGAGTTGTTAAGATATTGACCTTTTTTAAATCAGAGTGAAATATTATACGGTATTTCCTTGCTCTGGTAGACGTGTTTTTTTAATAAATTTTGATACATCAACACTTTCTGAGGTACAATTACTCACTCTAGCTGCATTTGTCAAATCATCAACAGTTTTCTGCTCGCGCAGATCTAAAATTTTTGAATTCATTAAGCACTATGAATAATTTTGATGGACGTCAAACAATTATTGCCCAAAAAAGCAGTTTGATGTTTGGTTTGAGCCATTGTTTATTGTTTTTATAAAACTTTTGTGTCTATAACTTTTGCAGCTATTCTCCTCTTCTTGAAAGTAATATTCTTAAAGAATAATAATATTCTTGATAGACTTTTTCGATCTCTTATTTATTTCATTATTGCTATAAATTGTTTTATTTTGCTTTTATTATTTTATATAACTCTTTTTAAGTCTACAACTTTTTGACCTCAAACAAATATACAAATTAAATATTAAAACAATAAATACAAAGCTGGATAACAGTGTCCTTAACAATCAACAAATAAAATATATTTATTTGTTTTTATAGTTGAATAATTTAACATAGTATCTATTTATGATTTATTTACGTAGTTTGGTTTAATTTGTATAATATAATTCAGAAATTCAAACAAGAATTTATTTTCTAGCTGCTTTTAGATTGTGTATATTATGTATTGGTTTGCACAGCATTTTTAAAGCTTTATTATTAAAAGTAGTGGACTTTTGCTTATAATTTAAAAAATCTGATTGTTAACAGTCTATAATTATCGCTCGTAAAAAAATAATAACTCGACAAGACCATATTTCTTAACAAAAACGTTATAATCTTATGTCAAATTAAAAACTATTGACTTTAAATTTTTTTTTTTTTTGGCATGCTTCCAACAAAATCATTGTTTCCTTTACTAAGTCCAAAACGTCAAAAAGAAACCAGCTTTTGCAGGTAACAAGTTCACAAAGTTTAGTATTTTTATCTACTAAAATAGGTAGTAAATTTTATGCTCTACGAAAACCTTCAAAATGTCAGACTTTGAATTTTAAGGTCAGAATCAGCAAGAGATATGACTACTGCTATAGGCAAATTATACTAGGAGTGAAATTTTAAACTATTTAAAACAAAAAATCCTAAATTAATATCCCATTCCTCCTTTATGACTTTGCTACTTTGAATGAACTGAAGTCATTCAAATGGATGTTCAGTAAGACTGGATTTTAAAAATCTTGGAGCATAATTTATAACAGTCATTAAAAAATCTTTATAGACTAGGGTCTGCTGATCTTGATTCAAGTATTTTATAATTCTAATTATAAAATTAATACAATAATCTTGTTATAATCTACCAAATCTAGCTTCATGACAGGCACCTGGTTGATGAATCCTAACATTTTTTAGCTTGTCAGACTGAATATTAAGATAGAAAGCTAAATATTCCACAAGATGCTAGTAATCATATTGGGGAAAAATCTCAAATTCAAGAACAAATTTAATATATATCTCGATCTTCAAGGACATCTGCTGAATTTCATAAGTAATTATGAGAGTATTCACAACAAACATTTATAACTAGACGAGACACCACAAGTAGATAAAAATTAGACAAAATTTTACTATCGCTTCTTAAAGTTGGAGTAAAGGGCCCTTCGTTGACCCTTGGTGCTACCTCCAGTTATTGGTTTGCAAATATGTTTAAATGTGTTTCATGTATGTGGTGCTGACATAATAGGGACAACAAAAATTTCTGAAATACTCTTGTTAATATTATATTTGCACCCACTTTCCTACCACTGTTGGTTGCAGTAGTATCAACACAAACAGCAATCACGTTGTCTGAAACTTCAGAGTATTCTAAAAATACTCTAATTTTGAATTACTAAAGCCTGATCAGATCCTTTACCTGTGTCACTTGGAACAACTACTAAAAGAAAATTATCCTTGTATTAAAATTCAGGACTAGTAACAGACGCAATAATTCTATTTCTTGTAACTGTTTGTTGTATTTCTTTATACAAATTTCCCATTATAATGAATAACAAGATTTTTTCCTCTCATTTTTTTTGATATAATTCTGTCTAATTTCATTTCCGTGATTTTGAACAACTTCATAGCGTTTCAATTTGACTTTTTCTCTTTTTATCTGAATTTTTTTTATATTTATCCTAAGGTAGTTCATAATAGTGGCTATAAACATTGTTTGATCTCGATAGCTTAAGGTCCTTACACTGAGAGGAGTTGTAGCTAAAATTAGGCCATTTTAAGTAATTTTTTATCGACAAGGATTGAAACATGAATAATATGTCGTTATTTTTCTTTTTTCTAGCATTTTTTGATTGTGTTGAAAGCGTTTTTTTGTTGATATTCATTATCATCAGAATAATAGTTAGTATTACCTTTTATCAATGCCAGATTTAAAAGGTCTAGAATAATATTATTTTAAAATGACACTGAATTAGCAGACTCACAGTTTATTCATAAAGTAATGTAGAATACACATAAAAAGTATATAATTTAGATTTTTTGTGATAAAAATCACATGACTCGTATATCAATTTTATCTCATTTGAATAATTTGCATCAGCATTTTTAATTGAGGGTTCTAAATCTTCAAAATCAAAGTAACTGTAGTTACAATATTGGTCATTATGATACTGGACATCTCCATTGGCCTCTATTGACATTTTTTCTAATAATATGTCTATCTATGGTATATCTCTTGTCTATGTTTAATGTTTGATTCAAGTTCTTTATAAACTGTTTTCTAGCATTTTTCTGACCTTCCAAATATACTAAGTTTTCCTCTTTACTCTCTTTGTTTCTTGGCATATCTTGACTAAGTTGTATAAATTCATTAATATTGAGCTTTCTGATGTCAAAAAGAGTCTCCATGATGGATTGAAATTCTTTAACTAACTTTTTGGTGTCATTTTTTCAAACTTACAACTATCCATTGGCTATAGATACACATTCTGTGTGAAGTTTTACAAGTTTTAATAATGTTTTATACTCTCCAATAATATAGTATTTAAAACCACAGGACTCCCAGATGTTCACTATTTTTCTAAATAGACACAAATCTCCATTTTCCTGATAACATGTTGTTTTCCCTTTGGATTTTATGTTAAATTTTGATCCCATAAGACAAGAAAAATTATCGTGAATACTTTTGATTCATTTTGATCTGCTCCTGATTAAATATTAATAATGTGTAAGAAGTAACCCATTAGTTGGAAGCTGATTCAGAGGTAAAAAGGGAATAGGCCTACTACAACTGAGATTCAAATCGCTAACATGTTTTGATATTTTTTCAATACATGATTGCACCTTTGTGTCTATATATTGGCAATTACATAAATAATGTTTAATGCTTGTTTTTTATTTGTATTTAATTTAAAAACAATTGAATAAATTTATTAATGTCATTACTAAATAATATACTAAGTAAAACCTATATTAAACCTTAACAATCAAAAAACAGTCAAAAAGTAATTTAAACAAAAGCATATATGTCACCTTTTTTTATATATACTATTTAGTTTTTAAGTTTGTTTTTTGATACCTTAAACACCATTTTACAAAAAATAAAATTTTGTTGTCATATTTCGTATTCTAAAAGTTTGTTTAAAAAAACAAATCTTATTTAAAAAAATTTTTATTTCAAATCTATACTTATTATTATTTTAGTCTTTTCCAACAACCGGCTATGTAATTCAACAACCTGTGGCAATTGATGTTAGACAAGTTCCAAGTAATTATAGTGTAGCCGCGTGGTTAACATGTTTATTCTGCTGTTGGCCTCTAGGACTTGTGTCAATTATTAAATCTAACGAGGTTTTTATATTTGCATTAGTTATATCATGTTTACGTTTTAGATAAATTATTCCTAAAACTCTGTGTAAGAATGAGTTTGACAATGTTATATAAATTAAATTATTCTTTAGGTCAACACAGCTATTTTGTTAGGTGACCTTCCAAGGGCACAACTTGCTTCTCAATCTGCTCGAATGTTTGCTATTGCATCTTTGCTTTGTGGAATTGGAATCTTAATTACATTGATAATTTTAGTAGTTGGGGTTTAAAGCTTATCTCACTCTTATTGTTTTGTAATTTTTAAATTACTAAAAGATAGGTTTAATGCTGTGCAAAGTTGCGTCTTTAATATACCAATTCTTAGAGTTATTGAGATTATTAAGTTTACATATATATATATATATATATATATATATATATATATATATATATATATATATATAATATATATATATATATATATATATATATATATATATATATATATATATATATATATATATATATATATATATATATATATATATATATATATATATATATATATATATGTATATATATAAGTTGATTAAATTTTTTAATGAAACAGCTTCTTATATTAAAATATTACTAAGAAGTTATTTAATAGTACAAGAGGCCTTTTAGTATTAATCATTAGTAGTACTAATACAAAGGTAATTATCATGATTTTGATATATGTAAAAAAGTTATATAATAGAAATATTGGAACTATGAGTTACCATTGTTATGTTATTATAAAAGGAAGCATTAGTTGAAGGCGTCATGTTTTTGTTTCTGCAAATAATTTTCATTGTTAACAAATTATTTATATTTTTTAGTTCTAGTAAAACAAAAAGCTGAAAGAATGGTTCCATTGGTTAGTGTGTATTTTGATAGTCGAACCTCTCTGTTGATTTGCCAGTTTTGCAACTAGAAATATGTCAATTTGTTTTAATCAATTACATGATAAGCATTTTAGGAGATAAATGACATTTTTACTATTACATGTAATGTGACTTTTAATGTTCCAAATAATGCCATTGGATGTCTCAAATTTATCTACTCCTTATAAATATAACCAGCAGATTTTACATCGACTATTTTTGCATTTAAATAGTCCCATTTTCTTAACAGATGACGCAGAGTGAACTTTTGAGCGCGTTATTTGTCTCAGTAAGTTTGGTAGTTGTTTTTAGGCAAATCCTGGTTGAATACTTGAAAAAACCTTTTTTAATCTTTTATTATCAGATAAACTAAGTAAAAGATTAACTTAAGTTAAAATTGGTTGACAGTTTAAACTACTTTAAAAAGTAGTCACCAAAGAAAAGACTTTTTTTGATTGTTTAATTAGCGCTGGCCCTTGTAACTTTGCATTTCGAAATGCTTTTGCTATTACATAATCAGGGTAATGACACTCTTTTAAGCAAATTTTAAGTTCCGCTAGAAGTAATTTTTCTGTAGCATAATCAGACGTAAAAACGATAATTTTTTTAGAAAGGTTACACGGTATGTTGTTTTTTTTATTATGATACGAATGATGACTGTTAAGGTTTTATTTAAACCTTAACAGTCATCATTCTTGAGTGTTTGTTTCTTTGTAAAAAATATTTTTTTTAATGTATATGTTGTTTTTAAGGATGACCGAAATGTCTAGAAAATTAACTGCATTATATATTTTTCCGTTCTCTTTGACTTCGATGCCAAAATCAATTGTAAAATTAATTTAATTATGTATATATTTCTATAAGGGACATTTGAAACTTAGCAATATCTATACATTTTAGCAATATGTTGAAACGGACATGCAGTTATCACAAAATTTTAGATTTAAAGAAAAACTTTATCAAACACACATTAACGATATTAATATAGTAAAAAAGAAATCGAAATATAGTATTAAAACAACTCTACCTTTACTTGATGAAATAATTTCAAGAATTGAGAAAGTAAATCAAATTAAAATTCAATCAGTCAATAACATTTCATGACAGGAAAGGATTGCTCTAAAAGAACTCAAAGAAATGAAAGATATCGTTATTAAAAAAGCAGATATAGGCAAAACCTTAGTTATAATGAATTCAATATAAAGACAAACTATTTAATCAAGATCACCTACTTTCTTTAACAACATATGAAAAAACAAATATTGTCTCTGACAAAAAAGTTTTCAAAAATCTTTCAAAAATGATTGCGAAACATAAAGGTTTAACACAAAGCGAAATTGATTACATTGGAAATCTAGTACTTTTTATGTAATCCCTAATATTCATAAATGTAATAAAATTATTAAAAAGGTTCAAGAATTTAGCTCTCTATTTATCGAAATGAAACCACCAAAGTATTTAAAAGGTCTGCCCATTATTGCTGGAATAGATTCACCGGCATTGCATCTAAGCCAACTTCTTCGCATAATTCTATCTCCTATTGTAAAGAAACAAAAGGTAAAGTAAAAGATGACTGGGTTTTTTTAAGAAAAATTCATAGAATAATGGATTCTGATAGTGTCTTATTAATATTTGAAATTGTAAATCTCTGCACAATCATTCCATGTAATCTTGGTTTAGAAGCATTAAAATTCTGGGTTGAAAAACATAAAAATCTTATAGCCGAAAAAAATACCGCTGATTTTATCATAGATTCAGCCTCTTTCATTCTTAAAAACAACATTTTTTAATTTGACGATTAATTGTTTTGCAAAATTACAAGATCAGCCGTTGGCACAGATTTTGTTCCAGACTATGCTTTTCTTACAATGCGCTTTTTAAAAGAAACAATGCTTTTTACTACAACTTTACCAAATTACTTTTAAAAAGAAGAAGTTAAAATTATTGAACTGTTTTATTTTAGATATTTTATATCTTATTTTTCAGAAAAGAGGTCAAAAATAAGTCAATGGGTTGTACGTCTTTTATAAGACGTAGAAAAGACGTTTTTAATAACGACAACCTTTAAAAAAAAAGAGAAAATTTTCATTTAAATGTTAAATTAAACAACACCGAGAAGAACCTTTTTTCTTTAAGAAAGAGGAGGGAAAAATTCACTAACGTTTCCCAGTGGGAAACAACTTAAGTTGTTTATAAAGAAATCATATATATATATATATATATATATATATATATATATATATATATATATATATATATATATATATATATATATATAATATATATATATATATATATATATATATATATATATATATATATATATGTATGTATATATATATATATATATATATATATATATATATATATATATATATATATATATATATATATATATACATATATATATATATATATACATATATATATATATATATATATATATATATATATATATATATATATATATATATATATATATATATATATATATATATATATATATATATTTGGTGGTCTTCCCGAATTCGTTTCATGACTTTAGTAAGTAAACAGTAAAATTTTTACAACTAAGACAAATATTCAAAAATTAAAACTACAGATATAATGATGATATTGATTCCACAAATCACAGCCGCCGCGGCATATTGTTTGGCAGATTGAGAAGCAAGTTGCGCTCTTGTAATGTCTCCTAACAAAAGAGCGTTATTGACCTAAAGAATAATTTAACTAAAACTGTTTGGTTTAACTCATCCTTAAATAATAAATTTGGAAATTAATTTATCAAGCACATAAAAATAATTAAATAAATACAAATTTAAATACCTCATTAGATTTAATGATCGACATAAGACCGAGAGGACAACAACAGAAAAAACAAGATAACCAAGCAGCTGTATTATAATTACTTGGAAGTTGTCTTATATTTACTGCTGCCGGTAGTTGATTTGTAGTTGCATGATAAGACTAAAATAATAATATAAATAAATTTAAAAAGACAAAAATTATAAAACAATTTTTAATTTATAAGCAAGTTTTCGAAAATATAAAAAATATAATAAAGCTTTCGTTTTTGAAAATTAATCTGTTATCAGACAAATTAACTTAATAGTTTAAGTAAATATATAAAATATTTATCACACAATTATTGAAAATATTTGTTGCTACTTGTTGCTGTTGTTTATTTTAAATTTCACCTCATTTTTGTAACCCTGCATGAAAGCTATTGGTTGTGCTATACAGCTGCACTTTGAAAAGAAATTTTAGCCAATTCCTTGAGAACTTTTTTTACAAAAACATTTGTTTTTTTAACTTAAAAAGGCAGGGGCGGATCTAGGCTGTAGCAACTGTAGCAATTGCTACAACCAGCTTCGTTGTCGTTTTTCTTTTTTTTTTATATTTGATATATACATTCTTTTTTTCATGCAAAAGAAGAATATAATTTTAACAAGATAGGTTGCAAGTAGTGAAGACGCGGCGCTCCGAAAATTTATTCATAATTGTAGCTGAGCCAAGTTGACTATCTTACGGAAATAGTGCATTCAGAAATATATTAAAAAACCCAAGTTTTTTGGGTTTTGTCTCACATGCTCAAATATTTTTGAAAGAATGTCAAACATTTCGCAGCGTATCAACTTAAATGGACTGGGAGTTAAATAAAATGGCAAATCGACTGTAGCAACTGTAGCAAAAATCAGGTTGTCATTATTTCAAACTACTCTATACATACCCCCTGATACTTTATAAAAATTATGCCTATTTATATGCAATCTTTTTATTAACAAGGAGGTTTCAAGTTAGGACTAAAAGTCATCAAGCGAGAACCTGTAGCAAGTGTAGCAAAAAAACAAAAATCTGCTTTGCTAAATCAAAAAATCTGCGTTAATTAATTTTTTTAATGAGTGCAATGGAGCTCTATCAAGCGTTAAAAGCAAACAACCATTCTTTAATTGATCAGATTAAGTTAAGTAACACTGCCAAATTAAACAAGCGCTCCCAGAAAAACTCTGACGGAATCCACATTTTATATAAATTGTCTGGTGGAGCCGATGGTTTTATGGATGTTGCAGCAAGTAATAGTTTGGCTAGATTGTATGCTGATAACCTTATAAACGAAGAAACATGTTCAATGGTGCCTGTCAGGTAAAATCTTTGTTATAGTTTTTTTGGTGTCCAGCTGACTAACGCAATGGATGAATAGATATTTAGAATTTTTAGTTAGTGCTAGATTTGCTATATCAAAAGAACTTCTTGATTTATAGTCAAAAAATGTGTGTGTATGTGTGTGTGGGCGTGTGTATGTTTGTGTGCGTGTATGTGGGTGTATTTGCATATAAATTTTATTCTTATGTCCAGAACTCCTCAAGATGGCAATTGTTTATTTTCTGCTGTCTCCAATCGGAAACAATATGCTAGCAACAACTCTTAGGAAGCTTTGTGCAATCGAGTTATACAAGAATGCAAATTTTTTTGCTGTGCATCCTGTTTTTCGTCTGGGGCATTTAAGTGGTGTTTTTCGATCAGAAAGATCCGCTTTCTTGTTAGGAATATCCAATGTTGCATGTACTGCATTTGAAGCTAAAAAGTCTAAAGTTGATGCTATTTTGGCTGAAGCATTAAATATTTCTCAATCTGGTGTTAGGTTATCTTTAGTTTGTGTGATGTCAATCTTAAATGTTTTAAAAGTATATTCTCATTTGTATAAAATTAACATTTAAACTGATTTGATTTTTATTGTTTTATTTATTATATAGATATTATTATTTTTCTATTTTTTTTTTCTATTTCAGATTCCATTGAAACTCTTTTATCCTACTACAGGAGATGCATGTTTAGAATATATATTTAGAAGTACATTGTACCCACAGACTTTTAAGAAATTTGATGAACTCTATCAAATAATTTACTTATTGCTTTACAATGTTGAATCAAAGAAAGAAATTCAAGACAATCTTACACATATGGGAAAAATGCATTATTTCAAGCCTAATCATTTTGTCCCTCTAGTATCTATTATAAGCACTCAGCCAGAGTTTCGAAATATTTTAGTTCGTACCCAAACAAGTTTAAATTCTTCAAAAAATATTGTTGTAACTGGTGAAAAACGCCCTTCAAATAATTCACTTCTTCAAATACCTTGCTCTGCTGTTCAAAAAATTAATTTAACCAAACCATCATTGAGTATTAAGAATTTTTTTTCTGTGAACAATAAACCTTTGCCAGTATCCAGTTCGTTTTCGGTTTTAAGTAATAAATTTGAAAAACCAATATCAGGAGTCGTAATTCCAAAACTAAATGTAAATTGTGAAAATGCAACAACAGAAGATGATTGCAACGAATTTGATATTGGCTTGTTTGTAGACAAAGTAGGGAAATTATCAAACCAAGAGAAGCGTAATATTCTATTGAACGTATGGATACCACCTTCTGACTATGTTTTTCCTAAAACTAATGGTCGTAAATGTAACCCTGCTTGGTTCAAAAAATTTTCATGGCTCTGTTACTCAAAGTACTATGATGGGTTATTCTGTATATCTTGTGTTCTGTTTGGAAAGGCTTCTTCAACTAGTCAATTATTTCATGAATATCCGTTTCGGTTTTGGTCAGTTGGAAATGTAAGAATAATATCACATAATAACACTTCACCAATGCATAAAACCTCCATACAAATAATGCTTGATTTCCAAGCAGTAATTAGTAAAAAAACCGTTCCAATTAATTTGCAACTTAATAAATTTCTATCTGATAATATTTTTAGAAATCGGCAAATTTTGTTTTCAACATCACGTGCAATCCTTTTTTGTTGTAGGCAGAATATATCACTTAGAGGACATCGAGATGATGCTAAACATCTTGCTTTGCAATGTAATAATGCTGGTAATTTCCAATGCTTATTAGATCTGATGGCATTATGCGGTGACAAGATCTTGAGTGACCATTTTAAAAATGGTCCTAAAAATGCCACTTATCAATCAAAGACAGTGCAGAATGAGTTGATTGATATTTGTACAGGTGTTGTTCGATCGCTATTGACAAACAGAATAAAGAAAGCAAAATTTTTTTCTATTTTAGCAGATGAAGCTTCAGATGTTAGTCAAACTGAACAAATGGCTGTAGTTGATCGGTATGTGGATGAATGCTGCAAAGTAAAGTAAGATTTTTTAAAATTTGTTTCCTGCAATAGTGGGTTGACTGGAGTTTTGTTATCAACTAAGATCAAGAAAAGTATATATAAACTCGATCTGGTCTTATTGTCGTGGGCAAGGTTACGATGGGGCTGGTAACATGGCAGGGCGTCTTTGTGGTGTAGCAGCATTAATTTTAAAAGATTTTCCTAAAGCTCCATATATCCACTGCTATTCCCATCAACTTAATCTGTATGTTGCCAAAGCATGTGCAATTCCTTCAATTCGAGATATGATGGATCATGTTAGGATTGTCTCTGATTTTTTTAATAATTCTCCAAAGAGGTTAGAAGATCTATCTACAAAAATTGTTGAGCTATGTCCGAAATCATCCTTTCAAAAGACAATAAATGTTTGTAGAACCAGGTGGATTGAAAGAATTGATGGTCTTAAGCTTATATTGAATTATATCCAGCTATAATTGCATCTCTTACTTTATAATTGCATCAACTACTATTAAAGAAGATGAGACATGGAACTACAAATCCAGAGGTGATGCTTCTGCATATGTGACAGTATGTTGTTCGTTTATGTTTATCATCGCCTTAATCATAGTCAGGAAGTTATTAGGGTATACGAGACCACTGACAAAAACGTTGCAAAAAGTTGATCAAGACTTCTCAAAAGCTCGTGATGATGTGGAAATTTTAAAAACACTCTTTTATCTATTCGGAGCTCTATTGAAATTTCACACTCAGGATGGGATAAAGAGGCTGTTACCATAGCTGCAACTAATTATACCTTGCCATCAAAACCAAGAACATGTGGACAACAAACACAACGTGATAATCATCAAGTAGATGATATTAGTGAATATTATCGAGTAACTTGTTCGATTCCTTTTCTTGATCACATTCTAACACAGTTAGATTCTTTATTTTCTTTAGAAAATTTAACATTGCTAGATAGTTTCGTCATCATACCATCAAATTTAATCTCTGACAAGAAATGGAGGAAAAAAGTAAAAGAATTCGCTCATACATACAATAATGATTTACCAGAACCAAGTTATCTTTATGCTGAATTGGATATGTGGGAAGTATATTGGAAAAATCACTCTGAAACAGCTCCTAAAACTATTTCAGATTCACTACAAAAATGTGATGGCAATACGTTTCCAAATATTTCTACTATACTTCGAATCCTTTGCACAGTACCAGTTACAACATGTACTTGTGAAAGATCATTATCAGCTCTGAAAAGAATTAAAACTTCCTTGCGCAATTCTATGACAGATGATCGCCTAAATGGTATTTCCATGTTGCACATTCATCGAGATGTTGAAATTGACTTAAATATTGTTGTAGATGAATATGCGACTGCATTTCCACGAAGAATGGAGTTTAAAAATATATTGAACTCTGATGAATAGATATACTTGTTATAAATTTATACTGATTACAGATAGATATAGGATATATAAATATGTATATAAATTGATAGATATATAATATAGGATACTTTTATTTATTACTGATGGAATTTTTAAAGAGGATATTTTTTTGATGTCATAAATATTTCATATTTATTATTAACTTTATGTTATGAGGCTTTTTTAAAAAATAATTATAGTTTTTTACCTCTTATGACATTTTTTTTTCTTTATATTTTTGTAGTTCTATCTTTGCCATTATTTTGTTTTAGTTTGAATACTGTTGAAATATGGTTTGAATTTAGTAAATTTTCATGATATGAACTTTACTTTATTGATCATTAGCCAATAGTTTTGGATGTTGAACACAATTAAGGTAAGAATAACTTGCAATCGTTAATTGTCATGGT